CTGGTTCTTCTCCCTGCTACTCCATTTGGCGTGGAGTTCCCTGCTTGAGACCTGGAAAGCAGTAGAAAATGGCCCAAAGCTTTAGGATTCTGAATCTTCATTGGAAACCTTGAAGAGATTCCTGGATCCTGGCTTGGGATCAGCTCAGCTCTGGCTGTTGCAGCCACATGGAGAGTGAAAAAAAAAAAAAAACAAATGTAAGATTTTTCTCTCTCTGTAAATCTGCTATTCCAATAAAAATAAATAAATCTCTCTTTTTCAAGAAGAAAAGGTTAGGCATGGAATTACCCCAAAATTGTTTTCAACTGCTGTGTATATAAACCCCTTAATAATATTTTTGCCAGGTAAATTCAGCATATTAATGTTTAAATTATGAAAATAAAAAACAATTTCATAGGAGAGTGGTAACTGTTACATCTTACTTCATTTCTTTAAAAAAATATTTATTTATTTTTATTGGAAAGTCAGATTTACAGAGAGAAGTAGAGGCAGACAGGAAGATCTTCCAGCTCCTGCTTCACTCTCCAAGAAGCTGAAATGGCCAAAGTTGAGCAAACCATAAGCTAGGAGCCAGAGCCTCTTCCAGGTCTTCCACATGGGTGCAAGTTCCCAAGACTTTGGACCATCCTTGACTGCTTTCCCATGCCACAAGCAGGTTGCTGGATGGGAAGTGGAGCAGTGAGGCTAAGAATCTGCTCCAATATGGAATCCTAGTGCATGCAAGGCTCTGGGATCTTCATTCTTAACCAAGTCACATCTCTAGCATAAAGTAATGAAATGATTTTTTTTTTGGAAAAATCTGAAAAGAAGTACATTGACTCCATAAATTAAATACTGTTTTGGACAAGTCAAATGTTTGAGTGCAGAAGTAGTTGGGTTATGAAAGTAAATCATGTTCTAAAATCATTTGCAATTCCCCACGCTTAGATATGGTATTAATTAGCTACAATTAACAAACCCCACAGACTGAGTGTCTTAAACAAGAAGAATTTATTTTCTCCTGATTCTGTAGGCTTAGAGTCTAAAATCCACAGACTTAGATTTGCACAGTCTTCCTGCTTGCTGTGTCTTTGCTTGGCCTGTGTTTAAGTTTTCTAACCTCCTTATCTTACTAGGACTCTTGGCATGGTGGAAGAGAGAACACTGTGATAACCTTACCTTCTCAATTTCCCTTCTAAGTATTTTATTTTCACATACCATGCCATTCTGAGGTGTTGGGATTGGAACTTGCACATCTGAATTGTGAAAGAATACAAAGTCAGCCCTTGGCATTGACTAACTGCTATAGTACGCAAGAGATCCGGGGACAAGATAGGAAATAATTTGAGTCAGGTGGCTACCAAGATGAACACAAGTTATTATAGGGCCATAGTCTGTTGCAGTTTTAGGTGTGCGTGAAGAAAAGTGATAGTGGGTGAATATTTGGTGTAGACCTTGTGGAATAGGTTCGATAGGTTCTTCGATACAAAAAAAAAAATACAAAAGGTACCATTTCCAAGTACATTAATAGTTGATAAGAACTCTGCACCCTGAATCACATACTGATACATAATAAACCAGATCCAATGAGGATTTGGGGAAATAAGGATAATTGCTCCCATTTTCTGCAATATTGTCGTAGTACACATTCTGAATGAATTAGGCCTATACCCACACTCATAAAATCTATTGATCAACCTTCTCTGTTACCATCTTTACCCATTTCTTTATAAAGAAGAAATATTTCATGGTAAAATGGTAGATTTTATTATTTACATTTTTAGTGTCTTTTTTCAAGGTTAAAAGAATATAAGACCTTTATTATAGCTTGTCTTGATTTTCTTTCCCTGAAGCAGTAAACCTTATGAATTTATAATAAATTCAGAATTTGTTCTCTATATTTGACCCATTCTATTTTAGAATTTTGAAGTCAGGCACAAAAAAAGCAAAGAGAAATTTCCAATATTTACACAATTTCTTTCAAAATCATTAACCAGTTTATGTTTTTCTCAAGAATTGCAAATCACTACCAAATCTATAAAAGTTTATGGACACAAGAAATAGTTGGGAGGTGCGAGGTTCTAAAATTCGTCTGTGCATACACACTCACATCTCTATCATAACCATTATTAGACTATATTGTATTAATAAACAAAGATTGTTATGATGAAAATGAGGCATGGCCTCACTTACATTTCCAGTTTCTAAGAGAACAGACATATCATTTAGGTCAAGAACAGAAACAAAGTGAGCTCTCTGACTCAAACTGGAGAAATGGCTTTCTCAAAAATTTTTTGTCCAGGCCTATGATGTCAGAGTCGGGAACATGGTTAACTGGGATGATAGTAAACTTTCTGGGCACCTGTTTGGATTTTGGCTGTGCTGGGTTTGATACAACTTGTTGTTACTGCATCTGAGAAAGCATCAGATGATAATTGTAATGTGTGAGGCCTTGCAGCCCATGTGGCATACTGAAAAGGAATTCCAGACTTGTGGCTTTGGCTTTACACAACGCTGGACATAGTAGCTTTTTCACCACTGAACCAACAGATAGAAGATTCTCTCTCTCTCTCTCTCAAACTCTGATTTCAAATAAATAATAAATTCTTGCAAAATAAAGAAGACCTTTGCTAAATTTTGTTCATCACAACACGGTCAAAATATTTTAGGAAAAAGTATAATCTTAACACTCATTTGCCCCAAATGAAAATATATCTCTCTTCCCCATAAAACAACAAATGAAGATGTCAATGTAAAAACTTGCTGGCTTATTTCATCATCATCCAAAATGTCAAAATTTGATCAGCAATAAAACTAACTTGGTAGAGTCCATGTTGTCACACTCCACCCATCTTCTCTTAATTTTTGACATGTTGAATGACTTATTTATTTATTTTTTCAAAAATACAATGTTTGCCTCCTCTGTGGTTTGTTATAGATACACATTGTCAGCTCTTTCCCCTCAATGACAATAAGACAATTTTTGTGATTACCTAAATCATGCCTGAACAAATTATATTTCCCCATAGTTTATTTTTTTTAATTTAAAATGTAATTTTTTTTTCTTTTTTAACATCCAATTTAATGGCTAATAAGGTCAGACATTTAGGAAAAATAAATTGGGTCATGTTGATACGTTTTCCCATAGGGAAAACAATGTTCTTGTGTGCTTGGCATTGCCACTGGAAGAACTTTCCAGAACATTGGAGGACTCCTAATGTTAACTCCTAGCATGATGTGAGACTTGTTCTTGATGCCCACGCGCCATCTTGCCATGCCCCAAGAGGACTGGGCAGGAGTGAATGGGTACCATCTTTGCTCTCAGAAGTACATTACAGGGGCCTTGCGTTTGCTCTTCACTAGGGAGTGTTTTGGTGTTAATGTGAATGTGTTGGAGAAGTTCTCACTCAAATTTTAAAGAAATACTGGAATCCTTGTTACCTTCAAATCCCCAGAGTACTCCATGTTAAGAAATATATATAGAGAGAGAGAGAGACAGAGAGAGAGAGAGAGAGAGAGAGAGAGAGAGAGAGAGGGAGATAGATAATCATTAAAACGATCCCTAAATTTCAGATCCATAGGCAGAAAAACAAAGCATCCCTCTGTACCACGAGAAATAGGGTTAAAATGTGCTCTCCACTAGCAAATCCCACCCCGGAACAGATTTCAGCCAGGCAGCTAGCAAAGCATGCTGGTGAACTGCACAGGCCACGGTGGGTGCAGAGCTCAGAGCCGGAAAGCAAACAGCTGCTGTAGCCTGATTTGAGTTAAAATAGTGTGAGTGTTTAGTCTGGCGCACGGCTTCAGGAGAGAGATTGGCAGCTGGGTCAAACAAAGTCCTTCCATTGGCTCCCTTCCCAGGCAGCTTCTGCTAGTATTTAGGTACTGGTGCAGTGTAGGGCCCTTTTCTCAGGCAAAATCCAACATCTGACCGCACCCTCTTAGCTATTTTGAAAAAAATAAAAATCCTCTTTTCCTTCTTTCGTTAAGATAAATTCTCCAGTAGACAACCTCTGTCACTAATGGTGTATCAGTAATGTAGTTTATCTTGAGAGCTGACGCACTGGGCTCTCAATGTGGTGTGGAAAGCAGCCTGTGACAGTGCTGGATTCATAAAAGAGCCTTTATGGTTTGTGAAAGAATATCTGTGTGCTTAGGCAGGAAACTTTTTGATCTGCAGAAAAGCCAGAAGACATCTAGGTAAGGCTGTGTATCGATTATACTTTGGGGGTGGGGGTGGGGGAAGTTGGCAGTTGGTAAATCTCAGTCAGTGTGAGTTTAGAGGATACGTGTTCACCTCTGTCGAAGTTTAGAACGTGCGGACCATTGTTGGCTTATTTTTTTTTTTGTTTGTTTGTGTAAATCTTCAAGGAATACTGTCGACTGCGCTTGTACGAGTTTGCTTTCTGCCTTTGAACCTATTACAGTGGAGATGGAGTTTTATTACCTAGTGAAATCTTTGTAATTTGCCACAGAAAGAAAGTGTTATGTGGAAGGGGAATTGACAAGTTTTAAAGAGTAATTGTACAATCATTTGAGGACAGAGGAACACTGCATTAGATTAACAAGGCTTTAATTACCAAAAAAAAAAAAAAAAGTTTAATGTTGCTTTGGAAGGAATATTAAGTAAGTTGGCTTTGTCTCTTACTTTTTAATTTTAGTCGCTGATTTAGCCTGTTGGGTCACATTTTTTCTTAGTGCTGAGGCTGCCATGAATCCGTAATGAGGCCCCTTTGCACATGATTTTGGCACTTGGCCAAGATCAACTTCCCAGCGGCAAGCTTTCTCCAAAGAACCTGGAGCGATTTTTTTTTTTTTTTTGATTAGGAATCATGTCCGAATGCTGCCACAACGAGTTGTGTAGGCATGCCAAAATGACTTTATAAAGCACATATGAAACTGGCATCAATTTTTTTCTCATATTGTTAACTTTAGCGTTATGAGTTATTTGCTTAGGACCACCTAAAATAAAAGAGCGATCTCAAAGAAGAAGGTTTACTAGATTTTTTTGTTTTTCTCAGCAGACCAGAATAGAACTGGACGTCTCAGTGAAAAGTTACACAGTGCGGAAAGGTTTTTCAGAAACTCTTCAGAACAAACAGCAGATGAATTCTTAACTCTGTTGATCACTGTAAGTAATACTCTGAGCAGTAAGTAATGAAGTTTGCTAGAAGTTTCATTGTGAGAGCAATTAAGCTCAATATCTTTTAAATGGAGGTTTCCTGTCTACTAAGATGTCTTGGCATGTGCTATTAAAAAAAAAAAAAGAAAGAAAGTTAACCCTTGTTACATATTTTTAAAACGTATGAATATTATTTTTAACGAAAGTGTGAGACAAATCATTGGTAGGTAAGCATGGCTTGATAACTTTAATTGCTGCCTTGAAGTTAAAAGGATATTTTTTAAGGAAAAAATTTAAAAGCTAAATAGATTAGAACTCAAATTTTAGAACTGTTATTAATGTTTGTATTAGTTAAAGCTGGTTTTTGTCTGATAGGCCATTGTGCTAATTTATACCACAGCATTTTATGAGTTAAATACTTAACTTTGAATGAAATACCCTTGTGGTAAGCTATGAGTAATCTCAGATTTTATGTCGCATTTTGAACAACATCTGTAGATATTAAACACAGACACCGAGATTTTAAAAGCAGAAAACTGCATTGCAACTGATCTTTCATGAAATACTACTCTTGTTTATTAGTTCGCAGAAATCTAGAGTACTGCTGTTCTTTAACTTAAAAATGATCACAACTCGCTTTAAAATATGTATGATGACTGCATGCATTATGCTTTAAGAGAAGCTGGACTTGCACTTGTCTTCATTGCTTTGTTTGTTATGTATTTATCGCTGATATTTATCTTTTCTTTACACCGTGTACAATGTTGCCAATTAGAGTCATACAGAAAGTGAAAATTAACTCTAAGTGAATTGTAGGGTGAGAAAAGGAACCCTATTCTGTTCAGATCAGGTCGTGTGTGTGTGTGTGTGTGTGTGTTTGTGTGTGTGTGTGTAGGGAAATAACTTTTGGTAAATCCTGGGATCAAAAGTTTAACTTAATTCTTTTCAGAATAATTCACGTGTGTATGAGCGTGTATGTGTTTACATTGCTGTGTGCTGGTCTCTAATACTATGTGTGTGTGTGTGTGTGTGTGTGTGTGTGTGTGTGTATATCTTGCTATTAGTTGAAATAAGTTAGTAGTGTTTCAAATTTTCATATCAGTACACATTAAAAATTATTTGTGTTACCAATTGCTATTGATAGAAATTACCTGGCTAAGCTTACTCTGCACATGGCTCCATGGTTGAGTTCACATTTTTATTTTAAGTATTGTACATTTGCTGTAACATTGAGTATCTATTGTATTAATAAATTGCATTAATAAAAAGGAAATTAATATAGAGAGAATTCAAAATTTAGATAAATGGAATAATTTATAATTTATAATCAATAAAAAGTGCAGGCAAAATAAAATACTTTGTCTTGTTTTACAAGGTTATTGTTTAAAAATTTGTGTTTGTGTTCCATTTGTGTTTTAATTTTGGCTGTTAAATATATACACCTACTTTTAGTTTTTATTACTTCAGTAAATTATTTTACTCTATATTTGACATTGGCAGAATATTTCTCTAACATTTATTGAGTAATATTGTTGCTTTTTTTTTCTTTTTATTTAATTAGTGGCCACAACAGAGTCAATGTCATCAAACAGAATGCTTAGAGTGTACAGAAATCTTATTTGTGAGTTCAGGAGAAATTTCATTGTGTACATGATTACATAGAAATAGTTTTGAGTTGAAATACACAAAAGTAAATATTAAGAATAATTTAAATAATGTTTGTACGGGCATAACTATGAAGTTTACTTTGTCTTGCTATGGCAATAAATATAATTGCATGTTCCACAGTACTGTAAAAATGAAAATTAGTTAATATTTTGTTGAATTTATTCTCCTTATGAGAAATAGGCTGAGTAATGTTTCTGTCATCATTTTCTTGTATATTTTCCCAACGTGTTAGAACCTAGTCCACTTCAGAATGCAGAAACTTCTTAACTTTTCAGGAAAAGGGAGATTCATTTGTAATTGTCAGTTTAAATCATGGACATTCTGCATCTTAAGTGTGATGAGTTTGTATTTTTTTCAATGATGCAACAGGCACAGAAAATTATTTCTTTCCCCCAATTGAAATACATATTAAATAATTACATATCAGCTTTTACTTTGAACCTTAAATCTGGAAGAAAGTTTAAGGTACTGTTCTGAGTATTTTAACACAATTTTTAATGTATGTGACACATTTATCATGGGTCATTTTAGGAAAACCATCTCGTAATTTAAGTGAAACTACTTGTTTTGAGTGATCTAGATATAGTGATAAGATAAACACAGTAGACTGAAAAATTATTATTGAGTTTGGCATAACTGCAGTGACCTCGACCATGGACGATTAGGTTAGGCAAAAGAATCGCAAGTTTGTCGTAACAAAAGTACACTAGAAGCACATGAAGGCGTTAGCGTTTGTTCCAGGGAAAGTATGGACTAAAGCAAGATGTGATGCTTTTCATGTAAATTGTTGATAGTAATAGTTTGTTATTTAATGAATATCCTGAACCTTAAATGTAAAAATTATCATGTGTAATGTATTCGTAAGATTCTTCCCATAAAATTACTTATATTACATGTCGTTTCAAGGCTCCAACATAGTGTAGATTAGTTAGATAAATAAGTTGTTAAGATACTGAGTTTTGGTATAAACAAAATTAGCACTGAGTGAAAAGAATGATGTTTCCTGTTCCTTTCTTTTTTTTTTTATGTTCCCTGTTTCTAACTTGTTTTCAAATACCTGAGTAATTTACACTTGTTGCGTCTTTCCCTGTACATGGTATTAATTCTTTTTTAAATTGTCATGAAGTGAATGCTGCTATTTGGTAGTGTTATTAAACATGGTAAGGCTCATGTTACAAGTAACCTGACCTCTTATGTATTTTAACAATAATGATTTGTGTCCAATTTCATATTCTTCTATGTTAAGACGAATATATCAGCAAGTACCCTCTTAGGCATCAATTTTTTTTTCCCCTTAAACACTAAGATGTTTCAGCCCTCTTTGTTTATGTTTTCAGGTGTGTTTGTCAACCTGGGTTTTTGTCTGTATTGTGCAGTGAGAATTTCAGTAGGAAGGCTTTTTTTTTTACTTTTTCCTGATACGGTACAACTCTGAAAAAATCCACATTTCTAGTGTGAGAGTCAATGTACAAGTCAGTATAAAAGGTCATACCAACTCTGATGGTGTACATAATTTAAACACTGAATATTTAGCATAGATGATAACAATTTGAATATTTATAGGATGATTATCAATATTTGGTTATTGTTACTTTTAGAAATTTATTAACTTACAGAAAATCTGCAGTACTCTTATTTACTTAATGGAATTTCTTGAAAAGTTTGTGAATGTTTGTACTTTGCAATTACTGAAATGTCACTTAATATTTATCTTTAAATATACCATGAGACAAGTGGTCAGTGACTTACTTTCCATTTCTGGATGGTAAGGCATTAACATCTGCAGGGGAGAAGACCTGAAAATATATTTTTTTTAATTCTTTCCTGTGACTATTAGGTACTTAACTGTAAATTTGAAAAACTTGCTTGTCCTATTTGAATGTTTATATAGAACTGAGGGCTTCCTAAGGTCTTCAGTTTAAACACTAAAATAGAAAATAAGATTGAGATTAATGACATAGTATATATATATATATTTTGAAGCTAATTGCAACTTGCTATTCCTACATAAACAACAACCTGGAAAGGTAAACAGTGGCCATGAGATAGGTCTACATTTACTTTTTAATGAAGAGCAGGTGCGAATGTGATGGCAAAAATGATGGTATTGGTGCAGTGTGCATGGTCTGTGGTGGTTAGTCCAACAACATTATTTCCCATATTGAAATTCCTAAGGTTTGCTTTAGGGCTCCTTATAATGCTAGGGTTTTTTGTTTGTTTGTTTGTTTTTGGAAACAGAGGGGCTGTAGCAAAACATACTAACTAGTTTTCATTAGCGGACCTATGACAGGATTTCTAAGATAAAACTGATATTTTCCTATGTATAAATACGTTTCGGGATATCAACTTGACCATTCAAAGTTGGCTAAATCGGGTTATTGACTAAGATTCTCAGCTTTTCCAAGAATTATTTATTTTACCCTAAAAGTTGTCAATTCCTTGAAGAATGTCATAGTTGTATATTAGAGATCATGTTGCTACAGATTATAAATTGTGTATATCATTTATGTTAATAAACTTTATTCTGTGTTCCTAAGAATGCACATCAGTATGCACAAATATTTCAAGATATTGAACTTCTAGTAGCAATTTCAAGTTGCATTTGAGATATCATCAATATGTTACTTTCTTTTTTAAAATTTCAGATACATTCCTAAAGAAGTATAGTGATGCCCATGTGAATTTTCTGTTAGTACATCAACATCTGAAAACTTACATATCTTACTGATTGTGTTCTGTAGTAGTCTAAATTGATCTTGTGGTAATTACAATTCAAAGGGTTCATTCAAAAGTATTCTCTAGAGTTTTTTCTTTTATATAATCCTGAAGTTTTAGATATGGTCAGGTGGCTTCAAATTTAAGCAGACTGGTACACATGAAATTCATACTAAAATGTGATTTGTCTATTTTAAAATGTTTTGGTTGGTACTAAATACATCAAACTTCCTATAGAAACTAAGGGTGATTTGTAATTTTGGTGTTGAAACAGCAATAATTAGTTCAGAATATTTATAAAATAATCAATTTTTTACTAACACACTTTTGTGCCAACAAATTTGGAAACTGGTGTTTGTTATTGGAAACCAATAACTGACTTTCATACTCAGAAATTCAGTCTGCCTCATTAAAATGTGGTGATTTACTGAATGAACAAATCTTTCATGAAATGCTAGATGTTAGACAACATTATATTCAGCATTTTGTTTCATTTTTAGTATCCAGATAGCTAAGTACTAATGCGATACTGTTTGCTTATTATTTCCTTCCATAATTAAACATTTCTATCCATGAAATTTGCCTTGTCCTTTAGATACATAAATAATTTGAGTAACCAAATATCG